CTTGGGCAGAGCCAAGCCTCCTGCTCGCTCTATGGCTGCAGCCATTTCTGTTTGGATTTGTTTACCTTCTATAATTGAAACTTTGAAGCCTTAAGTGGTTCTCAACCTTTCTAATGCCATGACCCTTTAATACAGTTCCTCATGTTGTGGTGACCCCCAACCAGGTTCCCACAGGTTGAGAACCACTAGCAGGGTCACCTAAGACCATTGGAAAACACAGATATTTACATTATGATTCATAACAGTAAATTCAGTTATGAAGTAGCAACAAAAATAAACACAGATATTTATATTATGATTCATAATAGTAAATTACAGTTATGAAGTAGCAACGAAAATAAGTTTATGGTTGGGGGTCACCACAACCTGAGGAACTGTATTAAAGAGTCATGGCATTAGAAAAGTTGAGAACCACTCAAATACAGAGAAGCAACCAAAATGTGGAGACAAAGAAACATGTCACAAATGAAAGAAATGGAAGCAAGCAAACTCCTGGACACAGAGTTCAAAACAATGGTTATAAGGTTACTCAAGGTTCTTGATGAGACTTTTAAGAACCTTAGTGAGACTGGAAAGACATGAAAAGGGATCAGTCAGAAATTAAGCATACACTAACTGAAATAAAGAAAAGTTTACAGGGATTCAATAGTAAAGTAGAGGATTTGGAGAATCAAATCAATGATTTGAAATATGAGGAAGCAAAAAGCACCCAATCCAAAGAGCAAAAAGAAAAAAGAATAAAAACATATGAGGATACTGTAAGGAGCCCCTGGGATAACTTTAAGAATCCAAACATTTGCATTATGGGGGTTCCAGAAGGAGAGAGAGAGTAAGATATTGAAAACCTATTTGAAGAAATAATGACAGAAAACTTCCCCTACCTGGTGAAAGAAATAGACTTACAAGTTTAGGAAGCATAGACAGTTCCAAACAAGAGAAACCCAAAGAGGCCCACCAAGACACATCATAATTAAAATGCCAAATGTTAAAGATGAAGAAAGAATCTTAAAAGCAGCAAGAGAAAAGCAATTAGTTACTTACAAGGAAGTACCCTTATGACTGTCAGCTGATTTCTCAAAAGAAACTTTGCATGCCAGAAGGGAGTGGCAAGAAATATTCAAAGTAATGAATATAAGGACATACAACCCAGATTACTCTACACAGAAAAGCTCTCATTTAGAATTGAGTGCCCAATAAAGAGCTTCACAAACAATAAAAAGTTAAAGGAGTTCATCACCACCAAACTAGTATTATATGAATGTTGAAGGTTATTATTTAAGAACATAAAGAAGAGATTTAGAAAATATGAACAATAAAATGGCAACAAATACATATCTATCAATTGAATTTAAAAATCAAAATGAACAAGAAATCTAATGAACAAAATAAACTGGTGAATACAACAGAATCAGAGGCATGGAAGCATGGAACAGCCTGAGGAATCTCAGAGGAAATGGGGCAAGGAAGTGGGAAGAAATTAACCAAAGATATTACCCTTGGACATAGACAGTAGGGTGGTAATGGCCTGTGGTGCGACAGGAACCAGATAGAGGGGGCAATGGATGGGGGAAGGAGGACAGCTATAATACTCTCAACAATAAAGATTTTTTTAAATGTTCATGTGTACAAGATTATTATTCAACATCTGTGTATTCTACTAGAATTATGTGCCCCCACTCAAAGTCTAGTTTTCTCCTATTACCTTATACTTTATTCCCTTTACCTACTTTGCTCCTCCCCCTTTCCCTCTGGCAACCTCCCTCCTCTTCTTTGTAGTTAAGACTCTGCTTTTGTTTATTTTATTATTTGGTACTTTTTGTTTATATTTTACATAATCTATCGAACAATCAAATCTAAAAATCAAAATGAACAAGAAATCTAATGAACAAAATAAACTGATGATTAAAACAGAATCAGAGGCATAGAAGCATGAAACAGATTTCAAGAATCTTATACACCTGAAATTATGAGTGATATATGATTTTTGTCTTACATTTTCCATCTGACATTTCATTTAGCATAATACTCTTAAAATCCACCCATATCTCATCTTCGTTATAGCTGAGTAGTATTGCATTATGCACACACACACACACACACACACACACGCACGTATTGTGTATACACACATATGTATATATCACATTTTCTTTATCCAGTCATCCACAATGGACACAGATTATTTCACGTGTTGGCTATTGTAAATAATATTGAATTGAATATAAGGACATATATATATATTTACAAATAAGTTTTTTTTTTCATATTTGGGCAGTAAATTTCTAAGATATTGATTGGTGGATAATATGATAGATCTATTCTTAATTTTTGAGAAACCTTCATACTGTCTTCCATGGTGCCTGCACTAATTTACATTCCCACCAAGGTGTAATAAGTTCCCTTTTCACCAACACTTCTTATTTCTTGTCTTTTTTATAATAGCCATTCTAATGAGTGTGAAATTGTATCTCATTGTGGTTTTGATGTTCATTTCCCTAATAACTGGTGATGTTGAACATCTTTTTATAGGTCTGTTGGCCATTTCTTTATTTCTTCCTTGGAAAAGTGTCTATTCAAGTTCTCTGCCCATTTTTTAATTAGATTGTTTTATTTTGTTGTTGTTGAGTAGTATGAGTACTCAAAATGGATTAAAGACCTGAACATAAGACCTGAAGCAATAACTACTCAGAAGATAACATAGTCATTAAACGTATGGACTTTGGTCCTAGAGGAACTTTTATGAACTTGACCCCAAAGGCAAGGGAAGCAAAAGCAAAAATAAATGAATGGGATTACATCAAACTAAAAAGCTTCTGCACAGCAAAAGAAACTGTCAACAAAAAGACAACAAACCAAATGGAAGAAGTTATTTGCTCTCTTCTTTTTTGATTGGATGATTTTCTGTAGTGGTATGCTTGGATTCTTTTCTCTATTTTTTAAAAATCCTGCTAATACAATGAACAGCTGGCAAGGACTATGGTTAAGATAACACAGCAGATAACAGGGACCCAGGGAGTCCCCTTTGGCAACTGATCTGGGTATGCTTCTGATGACTTTGATTAATGAAGCTGCCATCCCTTCTGAGGAGCAGGCTAGCAAAGCTCTGCTTTTCTGCAGGTGTACTGAGAGATGAAAACCCCAAGAGAGGCAGGGTTAGGCCACATCTCAACAGCAAAAGCAAAGGAGACTTGAGCTCGGTGTCCTAAATGCCCAGGTGTTACTCACACATGCCCTCCCTTCCATTCTCCCCCACCACTCACCCATCCCCATCCCCACAAAGATCTAAATTGCCTTTCCAGGGCAAATCTTGATATCTCCCTGACCCAAAAGAAACACTTGCTTTACTTTTATGACTGAAATATTGCTCATATTTATTGAAAAAGGAGAACATACTGCAGCTGTAGAGGCCCAGCTTCCACAGTTCTGCAAACACTGACTGTAAATCACCTTTAGGCTTGTCATTCCCTTCTGTGAAAGCAAAACCGCCCTAAGGAAATGTCCCCAGGAAGACTAATCTAGAAGATGCACCTTCTCTCGTACCCCACTAGGAAATATACAGCTAATAAAGTGCTGGCAGAAGCTTGGAAATGAAATACTCTTGAGCAAAAAATTCCAATGCGATTCAGTCCAGGGCATATGTCCCTGAGGCAGGAGCCTGCCACCAAGACCTAAGTGGCACAAAGTCCACCCCTGAGACTGGTTGCCAGTAGGACTGAAATCTTACAGTAACTGCCATTGCCAATGTCGAAGACAGTAATCAGGCCCTGTACTGTCATGGGTGGTTTATGGGCAGCTGACCCCCCCCCCCCAAGTGAAAGGTCAGAAGCTTCTCTCTGGAAAACTGGGGGAGGGAAACATGGCTTGGAGGTCCAGCAATCAAGGATAACCAGGAGAGGACCCTCAACTGACCTCTCACTAACACAACTGGGACTTGACTGAATGTGCCTAAATTAAGAGCTCCAATGGAAGGTATAGTGAACCTTCTACTTTTTACTTGTAGGACTGTCTTTAAAGCTTTCTATCCCAAGAGGATGAGTGTGTTGATTGTATACAGGTGCAGTTACTATAGGTGCACAAATGTACAAACTTTACTCTAGGGCAAGGTCAGTCCTGGTGGGTGGGGAGTGTTTGCATAAAGAAGCAAGAGATCGGAGCACCTGGAACAAACCCTTTGGGAACCTGGATGGGGTCATCTGACCCCAAAACGTAAGGAAGTGTCTTTATAGAAGACAGCTCACCTTGAATTTGGAAAAGCTGAAAGAAATTACGGAGCCAACAGAAGTTAAAATTTAGAAGAGGCTAAAATATAACTTTGGGTTTTCCAACTTCAGAATGCAGTGTGATGAAACCTGACAGGCCCCTAAAGGCCATGTCTCTCTTGATTAGAGCTGGTATTGGAAATTGGATATAATTTCTCTTTTTAATGACTTACTGACCAACTCAGTTCCCCTACCTGTGCTGGGCTTGTTAAGTCTAATGTGCCTCAGCTGTGAGAAGATGCTGGCCGGAGGAGGGACACCCTGCACATGTTACATACAGGCATCCTTGAGTGCTTAGCAAGGCCAGCATCCTCTTCCAAAGATCAGAAAATGAGACACCAGATGGTTCCATGATGTGATTCAGATCACTCCTCAGAACTAGTAGTTGTTCTGTAGCTCAGAGCTACAACCATACTATCTTCTCTTTGGAAATAAGCCCAAGCTTCCTGATGTCTCATACATTTAGAGAATTTAAAATGTTCTCCCAGAAGCTGATAACAGGCCTTAGGCAAGCGCTCCAGGATTGTGCCACCTATGGACTTCGAAGCACTGTGTCTGGGACCAGGCCAGGTAGGGGCAACAAGACTTCCCCTTTAAACCAGCTAAATACTACCAAGTGCATAGTAAAAATGTCTTCTACAGGATCTGAAATGTGTGTATGTCCAACACCAGCATCACCCTCCATTCCCTGGAGAGAGGCAATGCACCCAGCAGTGTGGCTGAGGTCCCGTGGGGTCCCCGCTATCCCCGCAGGTAGGTGCTGCCTGCAGGCTCCTGCCTGAAGGCATTGATGTGTGGGAGGGCTCCCGCTGTGGCCGCCAGCTTCTCATTGAGCTTCTGGTTCACCAGTTCCAGGTGGCGGCCGTTCTTCCGCGCCTGCCTCAGAGACCGCTTGACCTTCTTCACCCGGTCCCGGAGCTGCCTGTTCCGCTTCTCCAGTGTGGCCACCTTCTGCTGCAGTTTCTTGACATGGTCCTCCTCTTCAAACAGGGCCTTCTGCACCGAGGAGCACATGAGCTGGGGAGATAGACACCACAGAGGGAGAGACAGGTGAGCTCCAGGAAACTGGCCCAGATCAGCCCCAGTGCCCAGCCACCCAGACCTAACTCCAGCACACGGACACCCCTCATGACTCCCCAAAGAAAGCCAGTGGGGCTTGTGTCCACCAGGCTACAGTGAGCTGAGAAACAGTTCTTACAGGGCTCCCACATGGACCGCCCACCCCAGGACCCAGAACAGAGGCAGCAGACTGAAAAGCACCTAGCCTTCCTGTGAAAGGCCTACTTGCTTATCTTAAAGTTGCAGCCCGAAAGGCTTCTAATTAAGTTCACATCTATAGGCCTATTGCAAATTCCTCCAACACTGTGGGCTCAAACCTCTGCCTTGCTCCAGGTGACTCTACCACCCAGAGAGGAGCCTGGGCACACATTTGATGCCCCAGTGGTTGTGGCTGTACCCAGGAGACACTCCTTGATCACTTGATTCTTGTAGCTAGTGGTGCTCATGATTGCAGATCCCATAGGACTTTAGAAAGTAGAAAAAGTTTTTAACCAGGTACCCCACTCAGCACCATGGGGCAATGTTGTAGGCCACAGATTGAAACCCTCTGTGATCTGGCACAGTGAGAACCCCAGGGCGGTCAAACATATCAATAAACACACACACGGAGGAGTCTCGGAAGATGGCGGCCAGGTAAACACTTGTACGGGCTCCTCCCACAACCATATCAGTGCTGCAACGGGGGATCTTACCTAAGACCTGAAAGGACCACAACTGTGGGGCCCCGACCTGCGCGGACACGCGGATTCCACAGAAAGGTTGGATTTTGCCGGGGATAACGTGGGGTGTCTGTGTCCCAACAGTGAAAGCGAAAGCGGCAGCTGCGGCGGCTGCGCAGCCGCTGGGGCGGCAGAGACAAAGCAAGCGCTGGGACCCCGGAAATCTGTGTCCACAGAAGCTCCCCACAGTTGGGTCTGGCATGATTTGAGAGAGTGGACAGGGGTCCCCAAGATTGCTACTAATGGGGTTCTCTAGGGAGCAACCCATTCTGATCTGACACGATGGGAGAACATAGGAGTTGGAAAGCAGCCTGTTTGTAAGTGCGCACAGATTCGCCCATCGCACACCTAGGCTGGTTCCCCTGCAACACTTTGCTTCTGATTACAAAGGAGAGATCACCCAGATTGGCTGACCCTAAGAGACAGCAGGGGGAAACTGCTTTTCTGGAAACTGAGAAGCAGAGCAGGGAGAAATCAGCCAGGGTTCAGCTCCGAGTCAAATAAATAAACAAACAAACAAACAAACAAACAACAACAAAAAAAAAAAACGGTATTGAGTGCCACAGAAAAAGAAGACTAGAGCAGCCAAAAAGACGGGACATCAATCCACATACACTGCCACCTAGGGTTTGGAGTACAAACTGACTATGTTTATTATTAGTTTTATTTGATCAAAAACCAGGAAACTAAAGAATCGCAACTGAGGTACAGCAGAACGAAGGGAACTGCAATACTGTATGGACTGAGAAATGGGCTTGTCAAATAGAATAACAGAAGTGAATGACTCTCACAACTGCAAACTTTTTTGGCTAAATTTATTTATTCTTTTTTTTCATTTTTTGCATCTTTTACTTAAGAAACAATTTTTTTCCTTTTTTCCTCACTAGATTGTAACTTTTTAATTTTTACATTGTTAGGTTCAATAAGCATTTTTACTACTGCTATTTTAATTTTTTTTAAGTGCCATTTTATTTTCTCTTTATTTTACATTGGAATTAGTGTTCTTCATTTTATTTTTATTTTGCCTTCAACATTGTTTAACCCTATCTCAACATGACCTTTACACCATCACTCTCTTTCTAACCTTCCGCCTTTTCGCTATCCTGTTTAAATTAACCCTTTCCTGCTTTAGATTTCCTTACTCTTTCTGTATCCCCCCTGCTAAAATTTCTACCCTACTTATATATTTAATTTCCAATCCCCTGTGCCAAGTGCATACACACCCCTCTCTGAGATGAACTAACTAGCAAAAAAAAAAAAAAAAAAAATTGTTTTCCTCACTGTTCTTTTTATGCTGTTTGGGGGAATGATGATTATATTGTATTTTTATGCATTTTAGTGAGAGTATTTTGCTTATGCTTTTGTTGTTGCTGTTGCTTGGTATTTTCTTATTTGATTGGTTTTTGTCCGTTGTTATTTTATTACTTCTGTTTTCCCTTCCTGTGTTGGAAATTAGGGGGTGTTATATATTGTATTATTCTCCAGATACTGCTTACAGCATTTGTTGGGGTTAGTGGTTGTTCAATAGAAATTCTCTCCATATATATATATAGTTTATTCCCCTTTTATCTCTTACTCTCTTTCTCCATATCTCTCTCTCTCTCTCTCTCTCTCTCTCTCTCTCTCTCTCTCTCTCTCTCTCTTTCTCTTTCTCCCTGTTTCCCAATTTCATTTTGACACTCTTTTTCCTATCTTTTTCTTTTGCTCCCTCCCTCTTCTCTTTATACTCTTCCTCTTTCTCTCCTATTCCCTAATTTGCCTTTCCCTAGTGGTTACCTTTATTGGAGGTTATTAATATTGCAAATACATTTCTGTTCAGTGCCTTGTGTGTTGTACCTGGTTGTGTTATATTTTGTGCCTTTAAATCAACACAGGAGAGAGACATCCTGAAAAGAGAGAACATGGGGAGACAAAGAAACAGCCCACAAATGAAAGAAAAGCAGGCATCACCAGAAAAGGAAGTAAACGAGTTAGAGGCAAGCAACCTACCAGAGTAATGATCATAAGATGGCTAAAAAGAATGGAAGACAAATTTGACAATATGAGTAAGACCCAAGAGGAAATGAAGAAGAACCAAGAGGAAATGAAGATGATTCAAGAAGAAATGAAAAATGACATCGCTACTATGAAGAACTCAATAGAAAGCATCAAGAGTAGACTAGATGAAGCAGAGGATCGCATCAGTGAGCTAGAAGACAAGATGGAAAAAAATACCCAATTAGAGCAGCTTCTAGAAAAAAAATTAAAAAGCAGGAGCAGAGCCTACGGGAGCTTTGGGACAATGCAAAACAAAACAATATCCAAATAATAGGGGTTCCGGAAGGAAAGGAAACTGAGGCAGACATGGAAAACGTATTTCAAGAAATAATGACAGAAAACTTTCCTGAGATAGAGAAGAAAAAAACCACACAAATCCAAGATTCTCACAGAGTCCCAAGCAAAATGAATCCCAGAAGACAGACTCCAAGGCACATTATAATTAAATTGGCAAACAATAACAACAAAGTAAGAATCTTAAAAGCACCCAGAGAGAGGCAGAAAGTTACATATAAAGGAACCCCCATCAGACAAGCAACTGATTTCTCAACAGAAACTTATCAGGCCAATAGGGAATGGGAAGAAATATACAAAGTCATGCAAAGGAAGGGTCTGAATCCAAGAATACTGTACCCAGCAAGGCTATCAATCAAAATTGAAGGTGAAATCAGGAGCTTTACAGACAAAAAAAGACTGAAGGAATTTATCTCCACCAAACCAGCAATGCAAGAAATGCTAAAGGGTCTACTATAAAAATAAAGAAATAGAAATCAAAGAAGGAACACAGGGTTATAGAATAAAAATGGCATCAAATGAGTACCTATCTTTAATAACTTTAAATGTAAATGGTTTAAATGCTCCAATCTAAAGACATAGGGTAACAGATTGGATAAGAAAACAAGACCCATACATCTGTTGTCTACAACAAACCCACTTCAGAAAAAAAGATGCACACAGACTGAGGGTGAAGGGATGGAAAAAAGTTTTCCAGGCAAATGGAAATGAAAAAAAGGCTAGGGTAGCAATACTTATATCTGACAAATTAGATCTCAGAGTGAAGGACATAACAAGAGATAATGAAGGCCACTTCATAATACTAAAGGGAACAAGCCAACAAAAAGAAATAACCCTGGTAAATATATATGCACCCAATACAGGAGCACCCAAATACATAAAAAAAACTGCTGGAGGACATTAAGGGAGAGATTAATAGCAATACAATCATAGTAGGAGATGTTAATACCCCCACTGTCATCCTTCGACAAATCATCTAAACAAAAAATCAGTAAAAAAAATATCAATCTTAAATGACTCACTAGACCAGATGGAATTAATTGACATCTTCAGAACATTCCAACCCAAAGCCACAGAATATACATTCTTCCCAAGTGCACATGGGACATTCTCAAAGATAGACCACATTTTGGGACATAGGCAAAGTCTCTTCAAATTCAAGAAGATAGAAATCTTATCAAGCATCTTCTCAGATCATAATGGCATAAAACTGGAAATTAACTACAATAAAAATTATCCAAAGAAATCAAACACATGGAGACTAAACAGCATGCTATTAAACAAGGACTGGGTTACCAGAGAAATCAAGGAAGAAATTAAAAACATCCTGGCAACAAATGACAATGAAAACACAACAATCCAAAATCTATGGGACACAGCAAAAGCAGTGTTTTGTGAGGGAAGTTCATATCCTTACAAGCCTATTGCAAAAAAAAAAAAAAAAAAAAAAAAAAACCTAGAAAAAATGTTAACAAATGATCTAACTCTACAACTCAAAGAGTTAGAAAAAGAGCAACAAGAAAAGCCCAGGGTAAGCAGGAGAAAGGAAATAACAAAAATCAGAGCAGAGATAAACGACATAGAGACCAAAGAAACAATAGATAAGATCAACAAAACCAAGAGCTGGTTCTTTGAAGGATAAACAAGATAGATGAACCTCTAGCCAGGCTAACCAAGAAATAAAGAGAGAGGACTCAAATAAACAAAATCAGAAACAAAAGAGGTGAAATAACAACAGACCTCGCCGAAATACAAAGGATTGTTACAAAATATTATGAACAACTCTATTCCAACAAACTGAACAACCTGGAGGAAATGGACATATTCCTAGAAAAATACAAACTTCCAAAACTCAATCAGGAAGAATCTAAAAATCTCAATAGACCAGTGACTTGGGAAGAAATTGAA